GAGACTCCCGTAAATTCAAAAGGACATATTATATATATATTTTTTAAAGGTAATTTCAGTTTTGAAAATATTTTTTATTTTGCATATAAGGTAAATAATTGGAGGTAAGAAAATGTTGTAAAGTAAATGAATAAAATTTCTGTACATAAAATATAAGTGCGTACCTGGGCCTCTGCTACCGCTACATGGTTCGCATCATAAAGCATCATATATATGCAGGAATTTAAGTAAATTGCAGTAAAGTAAATAGGGATGTCCGATATGAGAAAAAGTTGGAAAACGAGTCATAGCAAAACACAAGTAAAAGAAAACCCATATGGAAGACCAGAATTAGGTGTAAGACATTGGTAATGGTGGGGGCTCAGAGCTAGACTGTGTGCTTCCCGACCTTGAGTGAGAGCTACCAACTCGATATTCTATGAATGGCTGTCCTAACCACAATCCATGTGATTAACCGTGGACCATTATAAATTTTCATTTTTAAATTTAGTTTTCAAGCATGTAGAATTTACTTTAGCAAGCAAAAGAATTTTCATTTATGTAAATACTTTGCAAACTAGTGTAGTCCACAAGTTAATTAATTTATTCAAGCTAGGACTACAAAAAACCTAAGTTTAAAGACAATCATCTTTTGAAGGGACATCGAATAGTATTATTGCTCCTTATCCTCTCCTTTTATTAAAGGTTCTCGAGATAGAAGATACTATTTTAAATCCAACGTCATATCCCTCATTTTAACACACATTAGCATTATCGTCATTGCCCTAGCCACCTAAACCTCAGACTTACACAAGCTCGATGATCCATATGTGATAAAAAAAATAATCCCAGTTTCTCACAAGGATTGAAATAGCTTATAGAAGACTCAAATCCTTGATCAATAAGACAATTAATATAAGATACGTAGTGTAGAGAATTTCTATTGATTTAGGTGAATTATCGAGTCCCAAGACATAACTTGGTGGATCCCTAAAAGTTTTAATGGATAATTTTCTTGAGCAAAGAATAATAAGTCCAGTTGTCCTTCAAAATATCCAAAAGATCACAAAAGTGTTCGAGGCATAACTCTAAACAACTTTTGAAACCCCTTGAATCATTTCAAGTTCATTTGGACTTATTATGATGTTCAATTAATCATCTTAAGTTAAATTTAGATTCAGTGAATTAATTTATCCTGTGCTCAATAAACCATATAATCTCAATATTACTGTGGGTGGGGCACCCAAACATTCACTTGATGTATTATTTAAGAGTTGTGTAAGTGAATACCCCAAAGGATAAACTCAAGTCGCTAAGGATCTTGGACCTACAATTTACAGTTGGGCTTGTAGCGTTTAAACTTATTAATTAATTAATCATGTTTCTCTTTTCTAAACCTCATTCAACAAGTTTAAATATCAAGTCTAGCTCACTACTAAGCCCTTAAATCCAATCTTCATGGTAGATTTATAATAATCAAAATGTTAAATTAAATGAAATTCAATTCTCATTAAAAAGATCACACTTATCATTTCATCACTAATTAGGGGCTCCTAATGAGCAAGTTATTAACTGCCAAACTTAAGCCCATTACCGTAGGATCATCCAGTTAAATTGACTTCTAAGTCTTAATAATTTATAAAACTACATTTTCACCCTTATTATAAAAATGATATCAACTTGGTTTCCATGTTTTAACCCATTATGTTTCAAACATCCAAAAGAGTTTATGATGATCAATATTACCCATTTAACCTTTGGTTAATTCTAGAATTTAATTAAGGCATCAAAATCCAAAAATTATCATTTTGCCCTTATGGCTTCCTACTCCATAACTCATTTAATACAACTCAAATGACTTTGAAATTCTTATGGTATCCAATTCATGGGTCAATTAAAGTATGAGAGGACGAATTATAATTTTTCTAATTTTTATTTAATTTTTATAATTATTTTTTATCATAAATAGGGATTTTCTATATTAATTTATTTAATTAAGCAAAATAAAATTTATATTCATGGGAAAATTGTTAGAGGTTCACCTAGGTCAAAAGACCACTTAGACAAAATTATATGATTATTTAAATTATATTTAATTAGTATAATTATTTATTGATTTTAGTGATTATTTAAATAGAAAATATGATTTTAATTTTAAAAATTACTTATTTTTATTTTTATTAAATCATTCTAAGTTCAGAAAACTTAGAAAAATAAACTTTTAATTTTTTATGATTTTTATTTTATTTATTACAATTATTTTGATAAAAATTAACAAAAATACATTTCTAGCATTTAAAAAAACATAACTACATTAGAAATATTATGATAAATATTTTAAAGCGTCTCAAGTCATTAAAAAACAATTAAAAACACTTTGGTGCTTTTTTTATATTTTTACAATTTTTAATTATTTTTAATTTTAAGAGTAGCTCCAAAATAAACTATTTATTTTAATATAAATTTTATTTTTCTTAAGTGACCCTAATCACAAGGAACACTTAAAACCACTTTTCATAATTTTTCTAATTATATTTTATTTATTATAATTATTTTAATGCAAAAAATCTCATTTAACTTGAAAAATTGACTTTAATATTAAATATATTTCAAATGTATTTCAATTTTTTACAGAGACTTCAAATGATCATTACATATAGCATGGAACCATTTTTATAATTTTTTTGGATTATATTACATTTATTTAAATTTTTATGACTTTTAATATTTTGATTAGCTAAGATAATGTACATAATTATTCAAACTCATTTTTAATTTTTTCCTAGAGTCTGGCCACAGATAACCTACCAAAAAAATTCTCATAGTTTTGTAATTTTTATTTTAATTTATACAATTATCTTAATCAAAATTAGGCAACTAGACTTAAAAATTAGGGCTTTTAGGGTTAGAGGTGGGGCTGTCAAAACGGCTCGTTGTTCGCGAACAGCTCGTGTTCGGCTCGTTAAGAAGCTCATGTTCGGCTTGTTAAATTTGTTCAATAAGTTAACGAGCCGAACACGAACTAAGATGTGTTCGTTCGTGTTTGGCTCGTTTTGGCTCGAAGTACTACTTATCAAGTTTATATATATATTAAGTAGTATTTTAAAAAAATCTAATTGACTACAAAGCTACAAAGATTTATAATCAATTAAAATATTGATAAAGAAAATAGAATAAGAATCATTAAATTAGATTCAAATGATGTTTTAATATAAATAATAATTTTTAAAACTTGTTCAAACTCTTTTTGTCTTATGTCTTATGACTAAATGATTAGGATTGTTAAAATGACTCTTTGTTCGTGAACAGCTCGTGTTCGGCTCGT